AAAAAAAAAAAAAAAAAAAAAAAAAAGAGTTTTATTTCCTCCTGAATCGACCCACGGGGAACAATTGCCCACAGCCCCTTTTTATGAGCCCCCTCATAAACAGGGAGGGCTGCAGGGAAAGCACTGAAGTCACTCTCATTGTTCCTGGGGACCTGGGGCTCTCCAGGGATGTGCAGTGACAGCCAGGACACAATTCCTGAGGGGACACAGCACAGCCTGGCCTTCACACGAGTCAGGAGGGATTTTTCTGAGCACTCCGTGGGGAAAAAAAAAAAAAAAAAAAAAAATCCAGCAGGGTTTGGGAATGGGGGAATGGAAGCAGCTCATTGTCACTGCACCCCTGTTCTCCCTCCTGGACTATTGATTTCTGCCTCTGGGCACTGAATTCTGCCAGTGCTTTCTCCCTGAAGCACCTGTGACAGGTTTCAGGTGAGGATTTCTCCCTGAAGCACCTGTGACAGGTTTCAGGTGAGGATTTCTCCCTGAAGCAGCTGTGACAGGTTTCAGGTGAGCCCATGGAACATTTTCAAGCGTTCTTGCAACAGAATTGCAATGAAATTATTGCTTAATAAATGATATTTGACAAAGCCCGTTTCTGGGACAGCTGTAAATGGTGTCAGTGGTTCTGAGAGAGGAGATTGTCCTACCTGTGACCTGATCTTCAGGGCAGGTCCCAGCTTGAGCCCCATGTTGTTCAGTAAGTGCTCTTCTGTCAGGAGGGGCAGGGTCTCCCCATCGATGGCCTGCTCTCGGAATACCTGAGGGGACACAGCCAGGGCCAGGCTCAGTGACACACCTGAGCCACCCAAGCCACACCTGAGCCACACCTGAGCCACCCTGAGCCACCCTGAGCCACCCTGAGCCACCCTGAGCCATCCCTGAGCCATCCCTGAGCCACCTCTGCAGCCCTGGCACAGCAGGAAAAGGTGAACTCAAAAAAACAGCCTGGATTTGTTTCCCAGTCCTGTATCCCCTTTGGGGAGTGGCACTGGCTGCTGGAGCCAAGTTTTTGGGTTTTTATTGCCCAGGGCTGCAGCACGAGCTGAGCTGAGCTCTGGGACCCAGCACAAATCTCTGCAGCCACCACGGCCAGGAGCCAAAAACCCTCCCCAGAGCACTCCACAAAAATCCTCAGCTCGGGAAAAGCTTCCCCGGGCTGTCCCCAAGCTCCAGTGCAGAGACAAAGCTGAATCCTGAGTGGTGCTGAACTATCCTGGTTTGCCTGAGCCGTGGTTCTGGAATCACAGAATTCCAGGGAATTCTGCAGGGCTTTCTTGGTTCTGGAATCACAGAATTCCAGGGAATTCTGCAGGGCTTTCTTGGTTCTGGAATCGCAGAATTCCAGGGAGTTCTGCAGGGCTTTCCTGGTTCTGGAACCACAAAATTTCCAGGGAATTCTGCAGGGCTTTCCTGGTTCTGGAATCACAGAATTCCAGGGAGTTCTGCAGGACTTTCCTGGCAGGAGCAGTGCCAGATCTCCCTGGCAGCTCTGGGCTTGGAGCAGGCAGAGCCTCAGAGCTCTGGCATTTTCACACAGTAAAAAACAAAAACAAAACAA